AGGCTCACGTGGTATACTGTAATCAAATATATAAACTGGTCATTGGGTAAAGTGAATATTGGGTTCTGCATGCTCTGCATATCAAGACAAAGAGTGTGTGTGTTGGGTGTGAACTTTAATAAGAAGGAATGTGTCTTATTGTTCATAAGTCATAATCCTTTTTTGCTATCTGTTATCTTTTCAGGTTCTTAGACAAGTACTGTCACAGTTACTTCTGTGAAATGTGGGTTAACTGATCTTGGCTATTCTGTGAAAGTATCCATCACACTATGTCTACATTCCAAATATTCCTGATAATGCAAACTGATTAAATTTATACTTGAATCGTGTTAAAAAATGGAACAGATTTACAATTTTCATATAACAAATTTATTAATCAAGTTTATTATCAAAAAGTTGGTGGTCTGCAGTTGGATCAAAGTGCTTTTTCTGCGACTACTTCTATCACCACCTGACTCAAAGCTTATACTTTCTATGAGTTGGGATGTATTAGTAATAGCATTTGGAACAAATGAGCAGCACATGATACAGATGTATCACAGCACCTTCAAAACTGTACTAGATAAGTGTGACACAGAAGACTATTGAAGTGAACACCACACAGTAGGAAATTTCCTCCCGGTTCATTACAAAGCTCACAGTTTGAGGGCATCAAAACAGAATCAACAGTGATGGGAAAATAGAAGCTCCTCAAACTCACTTAAACATGGGACTAGAATATCCCATGCTAATTGAATTACATTTTACTAAATCTAACAGAGCCTGCTTTCAAATCAAACTTTTAGACATGTTTTTTATTTGTAAAAGGATTTTACAGAAAATGTGCAGTTGCTAGTAATTCTTTTTTTCAAGCCTGAAGCAACAGATGAGGCTCTTAACTACCTCTCGATTCCCTGCAGGAACCACAACCAATTCATGCTCTATCTAGTGTCTCTTTCATACTGTTACACAGGCAAGATTCTAGACAATACACAAATGCTTTAGAAGCATTGCCCATTATGTGGTCACCACACGAATGCTGGGTCTCCCCATGCTGGCAGCCTCCAAGGTCTGCACTGTTTGTATGGATTAGCTCACCACACAAATCAGTTCATTTTATTTCTCCCATACCATCACAGGTCACACACACACGCACACCGATTTATAAAGATTTGCAATGTCAGAGAGAGAAAATATCTGATTTCTGAAAGCCAATTCACCCAAAAGCTTTATTCTGCAGAGTACTTAAAAAAGCCCAGTAATTTAAAATAGCCTCCATATAATGGTGTATCTTGTGCACAGCCTCAGAGTTGGAGGCTGATCAAAATGGAGCAATTGCTGGTTTATTTCATTCTCTATTAATCAGAAATAATAGTGATTCTTTGTCATGTTAGAAAAGAAAATACTCAGGTTAAAACAGTAACTTTTTAAAATTTCTACTGTGTTTTTCCAAGAGTCCACTTTCATGAGAAAGATAAACTCTTCTCCAGTAATATGGTGAAAAATTAGGTAACCTGGAGACCTATTTCTATGAAACAAGGTAAACAGAAAAAGCATGAATTCTATGTGGCTTTGAAGCAATTCACACAAACATTTCCTGAGCAAAAGTAGAAACAAAAGTGGAGAAGATGGGCTCCAAAATAAAAGCAAAAATATTTAATTTGCAGTATAATCAAACATTTTAATAAAAAAATTCTTAATTTGTAATCCCCTTGACAAAGGACTTAATCCAAAACGTGCTGGAATGCCGATAGGCATTTTTCAGGCATTTTGGAATCCACTTCTGTTTTGCGTATCACTGTGTACCTTATCCACATGGTCTGAATAAGAACAGATGGATCACTCTGTTTTCAATCTCTATCATTTTCCTATGTATCCAACCTTGTCTGTTCTATTCTTTTAATGAACTGTATGATAAGTATTATTAAACCACACACAAAATTAAATGAAAATATGTATTTCATTACTTCATGGAGAAAATCTATCTATATGGTTGCTAAGTCAACAATGACTTGATGGCACATAATCAATCATTTCATTACTCATTCTTAATTACAGATAGTCCTTGCCTAACAACCAGAATTGGGACTGGAATCTCAATCGTTGAGTGAAGTGGTCATTAAGTGAGACACCCACATGACTGCTTTGCTCAATGACTACAAAACTTTGAGACTGAAAGGGCTACCTGCCAGATGGTTTCAGTTCTGCGTGGAGCTGAAATCCTCCTGGCAGGCATCCTTTTTGCTGTCAAATGTTCCTAAAGCCCGGTGAAGGGTTTGCCCTCCCCTCCATGGATAGAGGAGAAATCTTTCATGGGGCTGGAGGAAGACAGCTCAAACCTTCAGGAATTGAGCTTTGTTCCTGCACACTGCTGAGAGGTTTCCCTCCATCCCTTCTGCTTGCAACCTTCCCTGCACTGACTTTCTGGGGAAGCCAGCAGAGAAGATTGCAAATGGCGATCACATGATCGTGGGGCACTTGGAAACTGGTCGTAAATGTGAGCTGGTTGCCAAGCACCCAAAATGCAGCCACGTGAGGGGGGGGCGGCATGACATTTTACAATGGCTGGAAGTGCTTTACAGGCTGTAAAGCATCCTTTTCAAGGTTGTCAAACTATAGTTAAACTGATGGTCATTAAGCAAGGACTGCCTGTATATTTTCCCTCAAAATATACATTATATTTTTTTCCTCAAAAATGCATTTCTGATTAATTTGACAATTTGTTATAAAGTTGAAAACTGTATTGAAACATTTGGGCAGCAAAGCATTAGTAGATAACTAAAACTGTTGGTTTTCTTCTTTACATTATTTCTGAACAACCACAATCTTAGGACTCTGTGTGGCACACATCAGAGTAAAACAAACCAAGGATATACAGATAACAAAATAATAAAGATGCAACAAAAAATATATATTTGAATAGAGGAACCCCTCCAATCAGCAGCAGCTAAAAGGTATAGAAAAAGGACAGCTTTCTGATCTTCCTAAATACAAGAATGCAAGGTGCCTTCTGAACCTCTGGGGCTGATACAATCTATAATACCGGGACTCATCCAGGTTCCATGAGCCTCACAAGAAGGGACTCCCAGCAAGCCTTCTTGTGTTGTCCAAACCAGACCAGCAGAATTAACATAACACTATGCCATATAGAGCTTATGGGTAATAACTAGCATTTTGAATTGGGCCTGGAAGCTAATGAGAAGCCAGTGCAATGACCTTCAAATGTGTTATTCTGCAGTGGTAGGTTGCCTCACCAGTACTCTGGCTGCCATGTCTGGAATGGAAGCGTACATTCGCCCAAGAAATACAAATCTGGTTAATTTGCACCAGAAACCATGAACACCTTTTCCAAGCATCCTTGTCTGAATAGATGCTTCTAAAACAGATATTTTAATTGGACATTATTTTGAAGAGACAGATAGTAAAATGCACTGAGTTTTAGAGCCAGTGGTTTCAACTCTTCTTTATAGATGGAAGATGTAGGACACAGTACTTCATATGTATGAACATTATTCAGGAAAATGCTTCCTCCCTGGGGTTACAACCATCTATACCAATTTTCTCCAACATGGTGTTTTCCAGCTATGTTGGCCATGGTGGCTGGGAATTGTGATCCCATTAATTTCATACCTGTGAATACCATAACTAATGCCTTGAGGGCACTAGGTTGGGAAAGGCCATTCTACACTATTACTATTTAGAGCAGTCCCATAAGTTATAATTGTTGCTGGAAACACTAAGATTGCATATGGGAAAAGCATAAAGCTTATCTATAAAATATGCATTTATAGGAAGTCAGAAACTTTTAGATATCTATTGATAGATCTGTGTAAATACACAGTTGACTTCTAATCCTCCATAGCAGGGGTCCACAAACTTTTTAAACAGGGGGCCAGTTCACAGTCCCTCAGAATATTGGGGGGCCGGACTATCGTTTGAAAAAAACATGAGGAGAGGAGGAGAGCCGCCGGACCCGGCATACCTGTCAGGTAGAATAGTCCGGCTCTGCGATCTCCCTCCTCGTGCATCGCCTGCAGCTCCCGACACAGCCCCGACACTTCCGCTTCTGACAGACAGCAGTGGTGGCCAATCAGGCGGGCGGGCTGGATAAATGACCCTGGGGGGCCATATCCAGCCTGTGGGCCGTACTTTGAGAACCCCTGCTCCATAGGCATGGCAGCTGGCTGGATGACTTTGGGCCAGTCACTCTTTCTCAGCCCAACCTGCCTCACAGGGAGGTTGTTGTGCGGGAAAAAAGGAGAAGAGAGGACTACGAACACCACCTTGAGTTGTTCAAAATAAAGGTGGCATAAAAATATATATATACAAATAGGGATTGTATGTATAAATAGGGATTATATCGGGTTGACAGGAATTTATTTTATTTAAAATTATACATCATGTCTTTGCTAACAAAACTCAGTGGAGAAGAGCATTAAAGAAGGACTACATCTTTTCCTACTCCTGCCCAAGACATGTGCTCAGTATGTGTGTGGAAGCAAAGTTGCTGAAATCACTTACAGTATAAACAAAATACTTTGATCCTTACCATATATTGCTAAAAAGGAAACAAGATCATAAAACAGCCAATGCAAAATTATTTTAACTATCTTGTCCTTTTTTTTTTACTGATTAGCAAAACTACTTTGAATATGCATACTTCTACACTAAATCCACAACTCAGAAATGCACAAGAAAAAAGCAGTCATATGCATCATATATTAAAAATATCTGATTAGTTATGGTATTCACAGGTATGAAATTAACATTATATAAATTAGCCATTCTATGTAAGTCTTAGTCCAATCACCGTCACCATTAGAAGTTGTCCTTCTAAGCATATATTTTATACTGATAATATTTTGTCAGTGATTTAGGATATGCACTGCTGAGGCACCCTCAATATTCATCATTCCCAAGATTACTGAAGAAATTACCAGATTTTAAGTAGATAAGAGAAAACATCTTTAGAACGGGAGAGGTTAACATCAGATGACTTAGACTATCAGACAGTGAATTACCTTTGATAGGTCTCCAGCCTCCAAGTAGAAGCAGATAACAAATATGTTCCATGTAACCCAGAGGATTAGCCAGACAGCATACTGTAGAAAAGGAATAAGAAATCATACATTATTAATTTTAATATCATCTTGGTTTAAATGATTCTGAAACAACAAAAATGAATGAAAATGCTGACACATATACAGGCATGCACACACAACACACAATCATAATATTGTTATGTGAAGGACTTTTATTTTTGAGGCAGAAAAGGCTTCCAGCTCTGCTAAGAGAAAAGTAACTAGAGCAACTGGTTTTAAAAATTTTGCAGGGCTCTTGATACACAGAAAGACAGTCTACAGACTGTATTGTAGCAATGGAGTTCTGAACAGTAATGTTGGCCACTCTAATTTACCTTCCAAATAAAGACAAAGTAAATGGCACCTTTCTTTTCATATTCACCCCACACAATAGTATGATATAGAGGCAGTCCTCAGTTAATGACCATTTGTTCAGCGACTGTTCAAAGTTACAACGGCGCTGAACCAATGGTACTACATCCAGTCCCTGAGGTTACAGCCATTACAACGCCCCCATAGTCACATTATCAAAATTTGGGCACTTGGCAGCCCACTCACACTTACTACTGCAGGGTCACTTCAGCTCCTCCCACCCGCCTATCTCCCCCTCCATCTCTGCCCTCTTGATGAGGGTGAAAGAGGAGAGTGCAAAAGCTGGCTTGAAACTCAACATTAAAAAAACTAAGATCATGGCATCTGGACCCATCAATTCCTGGCAAATAGAAGGGGTAGAAATGGAAGCAGTAACAGACTTCATTTATTTGGGCTCCAAGATCACCGCAGACGGAGACTGCAGCCATGAAATTAAAAGACGCTTGCTCCTTGGGAGGAAAGCTATGGCAAGCCTAGATAGCATATTAAAAAGCAGAGACGTCACCTTGCCGACAAAGATCCGCATAGTCAAAGCTATGGTTTTTCCAGTAGTAATGTATGGCTGTGAGAGCTGGACCATAAAAAAGGCCGAGCGCCGAAGAATTGATGCCTTTGAACTGTGGTGCTGGAGAAGACTCTTGAGAGTCCCCTGGACTGCTAGGAGGTCAAACCAGTCAATCTTAAAGGAAATCAACCCTGATTGCTCATTGGAAGGATCGATAATGAAGCTCAAGCTCAGATATTTTGGTCACCTAATGCGAAGAGAGATCTCTTTGGAGAAGACCCTGATGCTGGGAAAGATTGAAGGCAAAAGGAGAAGAGGACGGCAGAGGATGAGATGGTTAGATAGCATCACTGAAGCAATGAGCATGAAACTGAGCAAACTCAGGGAGGCAGTGAAGGACAGGAAGGCCTGGCGCAATATGGTTCATGGGGTCACGAAGAGTCGGACACGACTTAACGACTAAACAACAACAACAACAACAAATACAGTGGCACTCCTTGGTGGTGGTGGTGGCAGCAGTGGCACTGGGGCTGAAGTAGAAACCTGGGGCTTTCAGCAGTCGCCACCACCCCAGGCCTCTACTTCAGCCCCAGCACTGCTGGTGCCACCACCACTGCCAAGGAGTGCCACCTCCAGCCCCATGCTGTGGCCAGCCACCCAGTGCCACAGTGTGAAGCCCCAGCCACCCCAGCACTGCATTGCATCTATCTATTTATTTGATTTATTTATTTGATTCAATATAAGCACTGCCTGACTCCAACTGACTCTGGGCGGCTCACAATATAAAGCATAATAAAAACCCTCTAAAAACAAAACAAGATGGGATATAGCTACTCTATACAATGTAACAAAAAGTAAACAAAAACATAACCAACAAGGGGCTCCATCCATCTTGGCCTAAGGCCTGCAAGAACAACCAAGTCTTCAATGCTTTACAGAAAGCCAGCAGGATGGGAGCCACATGGATTTCAGGGCGGGCACTGCAACAGAGAAGGCATGCTTTGAGGGTCCCACTAGATGGCACTATTTAGTCAGAGGGATCCAGAATGCACCCACCCTGCCAAGACATACTGGCTGGGCAGAAACCATGGGAGATAGGTGGTCCCTCAGATAACCTGGCCCTAAAACATGTAGGACTTTATAGGTAATAACCAGAACCTTGAATTCTACGTGGAATTTTAGTGGCAACCAGTGCAGCTCACATAGCAGAGGTGTCATATGGGTATGACCATCACTGCCCATGGCGATGTATTCTGGACCAGCTGAAGTTTTTGTGTGATTTTCAAGAACAGTCCCACGCAGAGCGTATTTCAGAAGTCAAGCCTTGAGATGATTAGAGCATGAGTGACCGTCTGAAAGGAACTCTGGTCCAGGAAGGGGCACAACTGATCCACCAGATGGAGCTCTACAAAGGTCCCTTGGTCACAGCTGGCACCTACTCTTTGAGCAGGAGCTGTGAGTTCAAGGGGACCCCCAGATTAGGCATCACTCTTGAGTTCAGGAGTTTACTCCTTCAAAGACTATAGATGGAAAATCCTCAGCTCTAGGGGACCTCAACAGCTACAGCCACTTGGTCTTGGTACAACTGAATTGGAGTCAATTCCTCCCCATCCAGGACTGCACAGCCTCCAGGCACTCAACAGCTTTCACTCAGTCAGCCCAGGGTCAAAAGATATACATGGATATCATCAGTATATTGATGATACCAAACCCTAAAATGACAGATGACCTCACCCAGTGGCTTCATGTAGATGTAAAATAGGAGGGGAGAGAGAGTCAACCCTGTGGCACCTGACAAAAGAGGGGACAACCTCTTCCCTCACCCAGCCAACACTGACTGGAATTGGCCTGAAAATGGTGCTCCCAATTTCCAACTCCTGCAGCTGGTCCAGAAGGATACTATGGCTGATGGTACCAAAAGCTGCTAAGAGGTCAAGAAGTACAAAGGTGGATGTACCACTTCCCAGCTCCGCCACAGATCATCAACAAGTATGACCATGGCTATCTCTGTATGAATCCTTGCGTTAATCCCGACTGAAACGGGTCTCTGTGTCACATGCAAAGCTCAGATTTGTAACTAAAATATTATTGCTCACAACTACCACTAGGAAAGATAATCAACATACTGATCATTCCAAACTATCCATACTATTTCTCAAAGATTAATAATAATTTTATGCTAACATGCCTCATCTCCATAATAATTAAATTAATTATATAAGACCATTACATTATTAATGTGAAAATTGTTTTCCAAGCAAATCAAAACACAACTTTGCAGCTACATGTTCTCATTTTATCATTTCACAAGCATACTTCGTTGTTTCACCTATGTTAATCACTGATTCTATTTTATTTATTAAGGGCAATTATATCTCACTTTGTTAATTTTCTACAAAATTGTTATGGAATTATTGTTTTCCCTTGTTTTGGACCATTTCCCATATGGCACAGGGATAGGCAAGAAGTTTATCTGATCCATATTTTAATGGAAATTTTTGTAATTAATTTTTTTCTGAACTGATTTGCAAACCAGAATGCAGCTATACTCTGTTCTGTACTTTCTCATTTTTTTTTTCTGGTGAAAATAACAGCTAAATATGTTTTACTTTAAGGAAAATTGTTGGCAAAATCCATATACTAGGAAAACTGCACAAAAATGTGATTAGGAGAAATACAAATGAAAATGCATATTGATTTTCCATGGACTTAAAACTACAAAGAAATGCAGGAATGGGGTTTTAAAAATGAGAAACAGAATGAGTCTGAATTTGGCAGATTCACCTATCCCTAATCATGATACCCATCTTCATACTTGTCATTATATTTAAATTATATATCCCAGAATTCTAATTTAATCCACAATGAAGCTTCACACAAATATAAAATAATTTTCTTCTGCATTATAACTTTTACAATGTGTTTACTATCTCAATATATCACTTTTCCTGAAGTAAAGGGCATATTTTGCAGTACTGTATTAAGCTCCTTTATCTGTTAGGCTGTTCCCTGACATTCTTTATATATTTCCAAATAATCAGTAGTTTCTTAAAGAATTTGAAAGAAAGAAGAGGAATAAAAAGCTATGATAGAGTTGTCATGTCACAGTAAACTGCAATAGAACATTGGTTTATGCATTGCTTCCTTTCATTTTCTGCCTTAGTCTGACTGGAAGAAGATGGGAAGTTTTAGTTTCTGTTTAAAATTTAAAGTTTGGAACTAGAATTAGTTGTCTGAACCACTATTTTGTTTGAATTCATGGTTATTCTCAACTGTAATATGTATAGATGAAGGACGAATTTGGGAGTATTTTAGACTGAACCCCAATTTTACATGTTTAATTTTAAAATTTAGCAAAAAGATTTAACAGGCCACACTGTAAACTCAGCAAAAAGTAATTATGCCCATAACGTAAAAGGCACTATCAAGATACGTCAAAGTGTTAACTTCAAGAAGGCAAGCAGGAGTGCATAAGATGGCTGAGAATGGTAAGTGGCTGGTGTTGGGAACCAAGGTTTTTCAGAGGGTCATTAGGAAAAAAATAACAAATTAAAAGTAGATTCAAAGGTCCACTTGTTTACATCAAGAGCCAGTTTGGTCTAGTGGATAAGGCTCCAGGCTAGAATCCAGGAGATTGGGAGTTCCAGTCCTGCCTTAGGCATGAAAGCCGGCTGGGTGACTCTGGGCCAGTTACTCTCTCTCAGCCCAACTCACCTCACAGGGTTGTTGTTGTGGGGAAAATAGGAGGACAAAGGAGTATTGGTATGCTTGCCACCTTGAGTTATTCATAAAAATAATAAAAGCAGGATAAAAAATAGGCTCTGTTGTACAAGGAAGAGTGATCTTATCTAGCCCACTCCTCACAGAATATTTTAATATGCATAAATTTTACCCAGTTAACAAAGGTAATTTTGTCACTTGTATTAACAGTAATGATCAATTATTTTGATGCTGATTAACTGCAATTATAATCTAACCAATTAAATGGAAGGTTTATTTGCATATATTAATGCCTGGAGAGGGGTAGGGTATAGCTCCACCCTTCTCCAGGCACTGGCTGTTAGTTTCTGGTACTGTATTAGTCAATAAACCAATTTATACTTCAAATTAAGTATATCTTGGCCTCCAGTTTAAATATATCCTT